AAACGGGGTCGGGGTGGGATGTTCAGACGGGCCTTCAGGGAATAGTGGTCCGACCATGGTACTGCCATGGCAGTAATCCGGTCCACTGTAATCCCCGCGGCGAAGATCAAATCGAGCGTGTGCCCGGCCTGGTGCGTGGGGACCGATACACATTGGGAGAGCCCCAGTGCCTCCATGGACGACACTAGGTCCGTAGCCCAGCCAGACACGGCCTCCAGCAGGGACGGCAGGCTACTGGCCGGTGCGTTAGGCGGTCGGTACACTAGCCAGATAGCCAAGTTCTCCTCAGTCTCCAGCACCAGGCCGGCACACTCCATGCCCGCGATCTCCGGCGAGGGGAGGGCCCTGAAGGAGTAAGCCTCCCGAACGAACAACGCCACTCCTCCCCCCCGCCCCTTAATCCGGGATTGGTGTACGACCGCAAACCCGGGCGGGGCAAGTTGGGAGAGAGCAACCGTCTCCCCCTCCCGCACCCAGGTCTCGGTCATACACGCCAGGTCCGCTTGTTGTTCTACGACGAAGTCCCTAAGGACCATCGTCTTGTTGTTGATGGACCTGGCGTTGCAGTACACCAATGACGGAGAGGGGTTCATCATCCGAGCCCCACTGCTGACCTCCCTTGGGATGGGTCGTAGGCTGGAAGGGCACCGAGCCATTATGTTTCTCAGGGTCCTTCCTTTGATGTTCTGCCTAGACCCACCGCTATACTTTCCCCTCCCCAAGAGCACCGGAATCTGTTGGGCTGGCATAGCTGTATCTGCCGGTTAAAGACAATTTTTTATCAATAGACGGATTGCAGCAGCGCTAAATCGGTCACTTACTTTATCCCACTCCTTATTCAGTCATACACTCTTCCCTGCAGTACAAAAATAACCAATATGTATCAACCCTACTCTACCGTTAACCAGGTCTAACCCTTTACCTCTCCTAAATTACTTTTCCTAGGGACCGTTGCAGCCGCATACAATATCCTACCCCTTCACGGAAGGGCAATAAGCTAGATTAATTCCAATCACAGTTCATTCACAGAATGATTATCGGTTACAATAATTAAAACAATTAGATTACAATTAATTCTAACATCAAGCCGCTAACAATATTAACGATACAACCTAATTCATTTCAAAACCTGGCAATAAACATTTAACTACATACATACATCCCTCACATCCATACAGCAGGACAGGATGTTTTGTATGTTTTAAATTGTATTTATATATGCATTTCATGTAAGCTGCCCTGAGCCCACCTTGGCGGGAAGGGCAGGGTATAAATCAGACAGACAGAGAGATGGCAGCAGCAGAATGGCCTGGAAGCCGGAGCTACCCCACTGGGTTCTGAATGCTGTTATTTTTATGTCAGATATGTGGGCTGCAATTAAGAAACCAAAACACCTGGCTGCAAAATGGGGCTTGAAGGGTCTCTTAAAAGTGCACTGAGTCAATGTAGAGGATATCAATTAACTGCCTATATCAGTCTTCATTCTATTTTTATTCACAGGAATGTTCCCAGTAGACCAATCGGAATATGGCAACCTGAAAAGCGCTATAGAAAAACTGACCCTTAACGATTCCAGCGTTACCGTTCACCGTGATAGTAGCGTGGCCTTGGGAGCCGGCTGGAGGTGAGCCTCCTTGTATTCAGCCAACCGCTTTGGGCACTGTTTGTGGATATGATCATCTTAAGTGCAGAGCTGTGGGGAACGTCTCTTAATTCTGTTTGGCTAGGAAGTGTAATGTGCCTTTTTGGCATTTGGAGATAAAGGATTTCTTTAGCCACACAGATTGGTATCTTGAAATTGTACAGTGGAAGCCTTCTGTTTACAGGTTGGGTTTCCTTGGCCTTTTACATATGGAAGTTTTTAATCAGCGCTTGGAACAAGAATACAACACATCCGTCATCTTGACAGCACCCACAGTTCCCTATAAGGCAGTCCTTTCATCAGCAAAATTGATAAAGGTAATGTGATTTTTTTTTAGAAACCTAAAGACACACAAGGGCATGGCGATCGGATGAAATGATACTAGTAGGGGTGTGCAAAAACCCCCGGTATTTTTCAGGTTCGGGTATGTTGAACCTGGAAAATATTGATATTTCCAGATATTCTCGAATCCCAATACCAGTATGGTATTCAGATTTGGTAAATATTTGGGATTGCAGAATTTTTTCAGCTCCATTATAGGGGACCATGATAGTCAATGGTCCCCATAGGGTATAATGGAGAATCGATCTAGGGGATTATCTGCGGCTCTGTGGGGGACATTTTTTAGGTAGAGGCACCAAATTTGCAGCATAGCTGTTGGTGCCTCTCCTCAACCCCCCCCCCCAAGTTTCAAAAAGATTGGACCAGGGGGTCCAATTCTATGGGTTCCAGAAGTAGGTGTCCCTGTCCTCCATTGTTTCCAATGGAGGGTGGAAAAGCATTTACAGAGAGTGTGATCCCTTTAAATGCCTTTTGCAAGCTGTGGCTGAACTCTGAAGGCATTTAAAGGGCTCGCAGTCCCTTTAAATGCCTTCTTCAAGCCGCGGCTTCACCAGAAGTGTTTAAAGGGACTGCAATCCCTTTAACTCCAGCTTTTTGGCAGCCCTGAAAAATCCCAAATGTTTTCAGGATTTTTTGGGCTTGGCCATATTGGATAGGTGGATAAATACCCTGGCTGATATCTGGCTAATATTTGGGCTCAGATAACCTGAATGCACACCCCTAGATACTAGTATAGTAGTTAGATTCAAGTCCAGTAGCGTCCTTCATCAGATATGTGCTTTGGCTCTTGAAAACTTACACCCTGAAACTCTTGTTGGTCACTAAGAGGCTATTGGATTAAAATCTTAACTATTTTACTGCAGACCAACATGGCTACCGTCTGAAACTATCTAGTTTTGTCGCTAAAGCTACAATGCTTCGTTAAAAGGCATCACCACACAGCACCACGGCCTGCTTTGCACACCTTACAGGGCCAGTTGTGAAACGCACAAGCTCTTCCTCCAGCCCAACCGTTGCACCTTTTTTCTCTGGCTTACATTAATTGTGGCTTACCATTATACCTGAACTGGGGTAACTGCTGTTGCTGCTTACCCCACTTAACATCTGAATCATAGACTGAAACCACAATCAGAAGCGTGTCTCAGTTTCAGTGTGTTGGTTAACTCTTGCTTGTGGAAACCACGATTGCTTTGACTTGAACATAGTAATTTTTGGGCAGGAACGCACAGGAACTGAGTTCCGGCCGGCTTCAGAGTTGGCCACGCCCACTACAGCCAAAACCTCTGCGTGCCTGGCTACAGAGGGGAAGGCCTGGAGAGCGACCCCCCCCTTGGCGACTCCGAGGCAGGCGGGCCAGGGGGGGCTCTAACTCTTCTTCTTAAGCAGCGGGCTCTACTCAAGCAGGGCAGTTCTTACTTTCATACACTTATACACTGGGTAAATCTTCCCAGTGAATGAGTAAATTGCACCTCCAGTTTTAATGCAGAAAAAGTAGTGCTCCATCACTATTACAGTCAGAGAAACATTGCTTTACAGTCTGGTTCTCTTTCAGAATTGTGACCGAGTTTTTATGCATTCTCTTTTGATAGCAAATGTGCTCCGCAGCCTGAATAAAATAGCGCAAAATGGCTTCCTCCCCCCGCCCCCCCCTTTTTTGTAGGCACATGGGAAAGAGGAGATAACCATCATAAATCCAGCTGAGTTTCCTGATAAGTCAGAAGTGGTGGAATATTTGGAACCTACTGTGATGGGCACCATCATAACACCTGATGAATATATTGGTAAAATAATCACTCTGTGCCAGGTGGGTTTATTATTATTATTATTATTATTATTATTATTATTATTATTATTATTAATTTTTGCTTAATCCTTGCTTGTAACTGGGACAGGAGAAATATTATTATTTGCATCACATAATTTCTATAGGGCATAGTACTGTGTCTTTTACAGTTCTTAACATTATGAATAACAATGGCTTGGCTCTAAAGGTGCCATTCCATTCAGACTTCCATTCATGGATGTGCACCGTTTGGATCTTACCCAGTGATGCTGCTGCTGTACCGTCAGTGTAAATAGTGCATTACGCGGTAATGTCAGAGAAAAGAAAGATTCCTGTCCTCAAACACCTTACAATCTACATTACAAAATAAGAGTCCCGTGCACCTTTAAGACCAACAAAGGTTTATTCAAGGTATGAGCTCTTGTGTGCACGCACACTTTTTCAAATGCCAAATTAGAGTCCAGTGACTTTACGTGGTCTCTCAAAAGTCTGCTCTGTTATCCAGGAAGCAAAGATTTAGGAAGCCAAGTGCAAACTGTTCTGGGATTTCCTTGCAGATAGGGGTACCAAAAGAATATTAGCAATGATGAATCACCAAATAACTTTTCCTAAAGAAAGGAAAGCTGGTGTGCAGTGACTTAGGTATAAGTTATTTGCCAGCTCATTACGGTGGGTCCGCAACTTTAAAAATGATCCGTCATGGTTAGAAGTCACACATTTGGCGATGCTTTCTGCCAAGGAAAACTTCCGTTGTATCTCAAACAGCTACTTTCACCCGTTAGAGTCGAAGGGCTGTTCAGAAGGATCTGGTGTACATCGACGATCATAGAGTCATGATGAAGAATCTCTTTCCGCTGAATGAAATTGTGGTAGATTTCTATGATGCTTTGAAATCCCTCTCCTCTGGATATGCCAGGTAACATCGTTTTTATAAGGTAGATATTCAGTTTGAGTGGGACTTTTGAAATCAGTTCTGGAGATGATGTGCCAAGTTAACTGGGGACTTTCAAGGTTTTTGGGGAAATAAGGGGTCTTTTTTTTACCAGGCTGCAGAAGTGTTGGGGGGGGTGGTATTGTCTCTCTTCCATAGAGCAGGCAGGCCTGGTGGGGGAGGCTCACCATCTGTTTTCTGGATCTACTTCTATGCCTGAGGGCAAGCAGATAGCGCAGGCTACCTGTAAGGTATTTCTGTCATAAACAAGTTATTTCCTTCCTCTATGTTTGCTATATTTATTTTAAGTCCTCTAGCCAACCCGAGTGCAACTGATGGAATAGTTTAAAGTGCTAGGTGGGGGCAGAGAAAAGGAACTCTTGCTTATGGTATAAGAAATGATTGAGAAAGGAGTGAAATGATGCCTTTTTAAAATCTGAAGTATTTCCATGTCGCCCTCCTGTATAAAATTTTAAAGATGGTTAACAATTGAAGTGTTAAACTATAAGCAATGACTGTTGATAAAGATCATAAAGCTTCAGTCTTAAAACAGTAATACCAGCATTAGTGACACCAAATGCCCAGGTACATTAAAATGATTTTGACTTGGGGCCTGGAGATAAGGTTGGTGCCAAGAGAACATCCCCAGGAAGGGAATTCTAGAACTTGGGGCGGGCGGGCAGGGGCACCAAAGCAAAGGCCTTATCTCTCACCCATCTAATATTTGAAGGTGGGGCATCCAGAAAAAGCCCTCAAAGGATCATGCCAGGGAATGGGAGCAGTTGGTCCTTCAGATGTCTGAGTATAAAGCCAGGCATTGGAATTGTGCCTGGGAAAGAGATCTGGGAAACAGAGATCTTTTAGTATTGTCATGTGTTTAGGATGTGTTCTAACCAGCAGCACTCTGGATGCTTTATTCTGAACCATTTGAAGTTTCTGAGCAGCCTTCGAAGGCAGCCACACAGAAATCCACCACAGAATCTCAATCTGGAAGCTTCCAGGACATGGATAACTGTGGTGGGGCTAACCGCACCTGGCCTTGGCCTATGGCTGAACTAGGATTGCCAGGTCCCTTACCTCGGCCGGCAGGGAGCTTTGGGGGGCATTCGAGGAGGTGGGGAGATGTTGCACAATGTCCCCAATGCAGTGACATCACCTGGATATGTTGCACGAATATGCTCTGGTATTTGGAAAAACTCTATGGTTTTTCACCCTTAAAACCATAGTTTGCCTAAATACCAGAGTGTCCCCCGCACAACATTTTTGGCTGTATGTCTGGGTGGTACTTCTGATTTTACCGGAAGTGGCCCAAAAATGTCATTTGGGGGCCAGGATTCCCCCCCCCCCCCGCCAGCCAGCTGGCCGGCAGCAGGGAAGCCCACTCCAAATCGGGGAACCCTCTGCCTGGACCAGGGGGCTGGGATCCCTGTTGATAGCTCTGTATGAGCGGAAAAATTCCCATTATATATGTGTGAATCAGTATTTGAAAGGACAGTGCTTTGTTGTAGGACAAACATTTTGCAGTTCAGTTTCAGAAGTTATAACAAAAACAGTATATTTTAAAAAGTTAAAAGAATGAACTGTTTGAAGTGGTGAATGGTAATGGCTTCTTCCTCCCTTCACCCATTTGTAGCTTTGACTATGAAGACGCTGGATACCAGACTGCAGATCTTGTCAAGATGGACATTCTTTTAAATGGAAATGCTGTAGAAGAACTGATAGTTATTGTACACAGGTAAGTAAACTCAACAGACAATCCAGCTTTCAGAGCAAGATAGGCATCCATTAGATACCTACCCCAAATAAACATGGACATTTTTCCGCGCCTTGTGCTTGTAATTTGGGGATTAAAAAGTCAAACAGTAAAACCAATTCAAAATGGAATGTGAGGGCTATAATGGAGAACTTATCCAAGTTTATAATTTTCTGGTTTTGATTACACTCAACCGTTTTATAATAGTATTTTGAGTTTTGTTGTACGCACATTCCCAAACATAATCCTAATTCTCTTTCCTTTAGTGGATTGACTGCATTTGTGGCATCTTAACTAAGACTTGCATCTATATAATTTTTTTTGTGATTAATTAAACACATTCTAGAACTGCTACTAATGGTTTAAGGCAATTATGCGAAACTGCAAGGATTTGTTTTCTGTTCTAGGGACAAGGTATACAAAGAGGGTAAAGCTCTGTGTGAGCGCTTAAGAGATGTTATTCCAAGACAACTGTTTGAAATAGCCGTTCAGGCAGCAGTTGGAAGCAAAATAATTGCAAGAGAAACGTGAGTTTAATATTGCCACTTGACTTTTTGATTTCTCCCCATGTCTCTAATTATTTTAAACATGGTTTCCTAACGCTTAGTTGACATTCTGACTGAAATTCCAGTTTCTTAAGAGAATATATCTAAAGATAAATTCAAATTATGCACGTAAAAGTAGCACCTTCATTAACATGAGATATTTTTTTCTGGGTTTTCCTCCTGGCCAACAGGCACAACACAAGTCTCAACCATAAAACGTTTCAGTATAACACTAAATATAATCAGTTCAGTTTACCAACAGCACCAAAACAGGATGGTAGAAATAAAATTTTTTAAAAACCCCACAAATGTTCTGAAACATTCCTGAACAACTGAAGCTTCTAACTTGCCTTCAAGAGTGCCCTCAGTAGAGTGCCAAAGCATGAGGTACAAGAGATGCAGTGACAAAATATTTTGTCGAAGGCTTTCACGGCTGGAGTTCATTAGCTGTTGTAGATTTTCCGAGTTGTATGGCCATGGTCCTGGCATTGTAGGACCTGATGTCTGGTCCTACAATGCCAAGTAACCACGGCCATACAACCTGGAAAATCTACAACAGCTAGTGACAAAATAGTTTCACATTCTCTCAGGCAAGCTGTCCCCCATGGACCGCATGGAGTCTGCTGACTCCCAGTGGCTGTCAAAAATAACTGCAGTTAAAACCAACTAGAAATGCGGCCTGTTAAGAAGTTAAGAAGGTGGCTCAAGTGGTTAAGACGCTGAACTGCAGGCTGTGGAAGGTCGGTAGTTCAGCAGTTCGAGACTCGAGTGTGCCGCATGACGGAGTGAGCTCCCGTCTCTAGTTCCAGCTCCTGCCAGCCTAGCAGTTTGAAAGCAAGAAATTGCAAGTAGATCAATAGGTACCACTTCGGTGGGAAGGTAACAGCGTTCCGTGCGCCTCGGCGTTTAGTCATGCCGGCCACATGACCACGGAAACGTCTTCGGACAGCGCTGGCTTTGAAACGGAGATGAGCACTGCAACCCTAGAGTCGGATTTGACTGGCTTTCGAGCAAGGGAACCTTTACCTTTTAAGTTGTTGCCTTCATATTGAAACGGTTAAACTGCTCAATGATAAAGGAAATTGGTCTTTGGAGATCATCTGTTTGTAGTTGTGACAGTTTTCCTGAGGGCTGGAATGGATGCCACCCACAAAGGATTTTGCCTTTCACCATAATACGATTTCCTGCCTACCCCACTGCTCTAGGGTTCCCTGTGGGAACTGAACAAAGAGAAGACAACTTCAAGGGGAATAGGATCTGGGCCTGAGTGTAACCTGTTCAAGCCTGGATTGATAACTGAGGCAAAACTGACAGGAACGAGATGGGTTTTTTTTTTTTAACAGTGAACGAGAACAAACAAAAAAAATCCCAACTTCAACTATAGACTAATAGGGTCTGAACTTGCTGAGACTGAGGGAGAAAGATCTTGGGGTTGTAGTGGATAGCTCAATGCAAGCATGAACCCAGTGTGCTGCTGTGGTGAAAAAGGCAAACTCTTTGTTAGGGATTATTAGGAAAAGGATTGAGAATAAAACAGCCAGTATTGCAACACCCCTGTATAGATTTATGGTGCGGCCTCATGTAGAATACTGTGTACAGTTTTGGTCACCGTAACTCAAAAGGGACATTGCAGAGCTGGAGAAATTACAGAGGTGGGCGACCGAGATGATGAGGGGGTTGGAGCACCTTCCCTATGAGGAAAGGCTGAAGAGTCTGGGACGTTTCAGTTGAGAAAAGAGAGGACTAGGCGAAGGGTGTGCAGGGGGGGGGGGGAGACATGATAGAGGTTTATAAAATTAGGCATGAGGTGGAGAGAGCTGACAAAGGGAAAATTTTCTCCCTCTCCCAAAATACTAGCCCTCAAGGGCATCCAATGAAGCTGATGGGCAGTAGGCTCAGGACAGACAATAGGAAATACTACTTTACACGGAGAGTGATTAAAATGTGCAATTTGCTGCCAGAGGATGTAGTCACGGCCAAAATAATAAACAACTTTAAAAGGGGAGTAGATAGATTCATGGAGGATAAATCTATCGTGCTTGCTTCGGCAGCACATATACTAAAAAAATTGGAGGATAAATCTTATCAATGGCTACTAGCCATGGTGACTGAGGGGAACCTCCACATTCAGAGGCACTAATCCTCTGAATACTAGAGCCGGGAGGCAACATTGGGAATGCTTCAGCTTCTAGGCATTGTTGTTGGCCTTCCAGAGGAACTGATTGGCCACAGTGTGAGACAGGATGCTGGACTAAATGGACCACAAGTCTGATCAGGGCTCTTCTGTTCTTATGAACCAAGTTTATTTTAGAAAAAACACACACACACACAACTGAGATAAATATTAACACTTAACCAAGAGTTGTGAAGCGTTCGTTTTTTACATAGTACATGCCTCAGGAATACTCTCTCAAGAGGTTTATAACACATCACCGCAGCACTCTGCTGCAACTAAGTTATATACCAGGCCTAGCTGAACCTGCTGGCCTAATGGTAGCACTTCACTCTCCACTTTAACCAAAAGATCTGAGATCCGCTTAGATCTTTAATTTCCACCTGTTACACCTAACTGTCAAAAGGCAGCTCCTCTACCTTCAAAACCTAACCTCTTCTGACTGACAACCTCTCTGTTAGATCTTAACCTTTCTCACTGCTGCTCCTGTTGACCGATTGTGACTATTACTGTGGCTGGCTTCTGTGTCTCTTGGGTACCTGTCACAATGGTTTTACTCCATCTTTTATTTGCCCAACCTGTTGCTTACAGAGAAACAACTAGAGTTGTGGATAAAGATGAGGATTCATTGAGGACTGACGTCAAAGGGCTAGAATTGTGAAGTGGGTATGCTAAGTAAACAAGCCAAGTATACAGGAAATAGAGTGTCCTTTGATTTTGTAATAGCAATCTTAACTCATCTTGGCAACTGTGGGCTCAAATATTCCTGCTTAGTGGCACATTTTGTACACATGGATTTGTAGTAGTTGGGAGAGAAACCCGGATCACATTGCAAAAAATCTTGACACTCAGAATTCTTTAAAAAAAAAAATATGTCGGAACTATCTGTGCCTTCTTTCCTTCAGGGTGAAAGCATATAGAAAAAATGTCCTGGCAAAATGCGTAAGTATCTATTACTTGTGGAATAAACTGTTCTATTGCCACTATCTGTTTCCTTCATTAGACTATATTGGGGGGTTATCTCCCCAAGTAATTTATTCTTTCATTGTGAATTTCAGAAAAAAAAGGTATTTAGGAGTACATGAATATTTTGGGTCCGATGCAGATAACTCAAGAAAGCTCATAGGTTTGCCAAGTTAATAACATTTGTTCAACATGCTTCCTGTGTTTTTTTTTTATTGTAAACACTCTCAAAGTCTGATTTTATAAGAGTCAATGTTCCCTCTAAGCTGTGGAGTCCTGTGAGCAAAAATTCTACTTTGTGAGCTACCAGCATTAAAGTTGTGAGCAGGCAGGTGATTTGGCTACTGCATAAATTAGTTTGCTCTGGATTGGAGCATCGTTCCTGAGCTAAGACAACAGTGTGTGAGCCGGAGGCCAAAAAACTGTGAGCTAGCTCACACCAACTCAGCTTAGAGGGAACACTGGTTAGAGTATCCTTATTTAATGCAGACTAGCAGCTTACATTCATTGCAGGAGTCCGGTGGCACACGAAAGCTCATACAATTAAAACTTTTTGTTAGTCTTAAAGGTGACACTGGACTCATACTTTGTTCTATTTCTTCAGACCAACATGGCTTCCCACCTGAATTTATATTCATTGAGTCAGTCTTAAACAATATGGAGTAATATATATCCCCCAGAACATCACGATTCTGTACAGTTTGTCCAACTTCAAAAAGTACTTGAATGGATGGTAGAAAACAGCGATCAGAAATACAACAGTCCCTCTGCTCAGTTTTATGTATCACGTACAGAGAGGTGGGGAAAATTAAAACGTTTTCTTTCTAAAAACAGTATGGTGGAGACATTTCACGGAAAATGAAGCTTTTGAAGAGGCAAGCTGAAGGAAAGAAGAAGCTGAGGAAAATTGGTAATGTGGAAGTGCCCAAAGATGCATTCATTAGTGTTCTAAGGAGACAGCCTGATAAGTAGTTTGGAAGTCTTCTAGCTACTTTGGAGAAAAGTTGCCGAATGCACAACACTGGCTGGTGCTATTTGCAAACTGTGCAGGAGGTTTTGATTCTTGGATGCAATGTGAATGTAAACAGACCAATGTCATTGATAGTTTAAATTGGAACTGACTGCATAATAAAATTTTATTTCGGGGACCTAGAGAACCTGTAGCTTACTTTTTAATAAAACCTTCTGTATCACCACCCAATACATATTGTGAGAGCCTGCAGGCAACTTCTGGAATATGAGGAATGTTGGTGGGTACAACCATAAAATGTCCGCCAGGGGGCTGGAACGTTTTGCTCTGGGAAAGGGATGCTGTTGGTTACAGTTCGTAGACAGAGCCCAGAGCGCTAAGGAAGTCAGAGTGTTTCACAGCTGGCACGAACTCAGTTGGTAGGGAGCAGCCCAAAGTATCCTGTTGTCTACTGTTTTGTTCAAGACTCAGGAAGCAAGCTGCAGAATGCTGGCATATTGAATGGATTACTGCTTGTAAGACTGCTGTGTCAGCCTTACAGCCACAATCTGATGAAGTTCCTTAAGCCAGTGTATGTTGTAGACCGCCAGTACATTCTGTCCTGTAGGCGCTTTACTTCAATGTGTAATATATTGGGTTCAATTAAAAAAAACTGTAATTGGTGATTGTGAGCCCCCCCCCCCCTCCATTACACCAGTTGAAGGATTTGTGCAGTGCTGTGAGGGAACTTCGAAGGCAAGTTTTACTTTTCTCTTCAGGGCGCTTTGCCACAAGGTATAAAACAGTACTTAAAGGAGCAGAGGACACCTTCTGCAGATGGATAGTTACCACTGGAGAGCCAGTTTGGTGTAGTGGTTAAGTGTGCGGACTCTAATCTGGGAGAACCGGGTTTGATTCCCCACTCCTCCACTTGCACCAGTCACAAGCTCTGGCACAGCTGTCCTTGAAAAAGAGCAGTTTGTGTCAGAGTTTTCTCAGCCCCACCCACCTCACAGGGTGTCTGTTGTGGGGAGGGGAAGGGAAAGGAGTTTGTAAGCCGCGCTGAGACTCCGAGTGAAGGGCAGGGTATAAATCCCATCTTTTCTTCTTCTTCTGGAGTCAATCTGCTCAGATTTGTGTATTGACTGACACTGCAGGCTACCCTTCCACCATGGCCAAGTTCAGTTGTGGGTACACAGTTCTGTCAGCCTTTACACTTTCTCCGCTACTCTTGTCAATGTTGTTCCTGCCTATAGTGAATGACATTAAAGCTGGTGTTTGGTATAGAGCGCCATTATAACACAGGGGATGGCTTCAGGATCACAACTGTTTCTTGCCACTTACCCTGAAAAAAATACAGTCAATATTTTCACTTATTCTAAATCTCAGCACCAGTCCATGTCCCTCAGTTTCCTGCTGCGTTGGGCGAATGGACAAACCATTCCAGATTAAACAGTCACTTCCATACTACCTTCAACGCCATAATCCGCTATAACTGAGAAGTCTTCTTGTATGTAACAAAACTAGCTTATAATGGTCAGGCAGCAGACTTCTCAGCCGTAACGGCCATGGACTGGATTTGGGAAATGTACACGTCTGACCACAGAGACTCTCCACCCAGAAACAAACCCAGCCCCTGTCCTCATAATCAGTGTTCCCTCTAAGCTGAGTTAGTGTGAGCTAGCTCACAATTTTTTAGCCTCCGGCTCACACATTTTTGTCTTAGCTCAGGAAGGAGGGCTCCAGAGCAAACTAATTTATGCAGGAGCCAAACTGCTCACTCACAACTTTAATGCCAGTAGCTCACAAAGTAGAATTTTTGCTTACAAGACTCCACCGCTTTGAGGGGACATTGCTCATAATAGTGCTGAACATCTTAAAAGAGTTTGTATTAGGCACAGAAGAGACCAAAAGAAAATCAAACAGCAAAATATTTATTAAGCTCTATGATGAGGTATGATTGGGTTAGTTTCCCCTTCACAGACAAATGCCTTTAAGGAATTGGCACACTGCATCAAAGTGCAGTCCCTATGACACAAAATACCATTTTCAAGAAAGAATCTGGCCTCTGACCACAGGAAGCATCTTGCTGTTCAAGGCCAGTTCGCTGCTGAAGGAATAAAAGTATGAACTGCAGATAGCGATGCGATACTTGAGGTTAAGAGCTGTGTTCTTAGCAAGGCTGAATGCCACGGGGAATTAAAAAGGCCGCAACAACATTCAAAATGTGCAGGACTCATTCATATTCTGTCCGTTCCCCCCTCCTGTAGGAAAATTTATAACCCTGTAAAGCTTAAGTAGACATGAATCATGTAAAAATGGCAGCTGAGCATGCTACAGGGGAAAAGCTGTCTGCATAAAGCTGTCAGAGGTGGGTCAATGTCTACAATGCCGAGGTGGATTTTTACCACTTCCTTTTCTCTCCAGCAGACACTTGCAAGCCTGGAAAGGTGATGTGACAGGATTCCAATGTTCCCTCTTAATTCCCCCCCCCCTACTGAGCACAGCACTTCATATCTTGAGCAGAACATAACTGCTGTAATCGTCAAGTGGGCAGTGTGAGACCCTGTGCGGCTCCAGGTTGCTGCTGAGTGGGGCTTCCTGTGTTAATGAGCGGCCGCTTGCTCACGGGCACACCTTAGAGGGAACACGGGGCAGGAAGGACTGATGGGAGAAAAGGGTCATTCTGCTCACTTTTCCCTTCTTAACACAGCCACTTGTGCTGCATGGCAATTCATCCACATGGATCCTCAGACCCTTGGCATCACAGGTAGCTGTTGGCCTCATCCACTGCTGCTGCATAAAATCCACACCCTAGCTTTTAAGGGACTAGACGTTCCTTTGATTTAACGGTAACCACCAATGTGGCGACCATTCTCAAAGCTGACAAAAAATTGTTACCAAAACGAGCATCTACGACTGCAGGTACCGCTTTCAAACTAGGTTACCCTGACACCGTCTCCCATGAAGGTGTACAGTTTTAAGGCAGCCAATAATCTGTGTGTGTGTGTGTGTGTGTGTAAACATTTCACAATAAAGTGCCTTATTATCTGGTTCTACACTGACATTACAAAACCCAAGATGAAAAAGTGCCTTGGAACAAACAAGGAAATGTGTTTATATTTCGCATTCCAGAAAGCTCGAATGGGGCTGTGCTCTGAAGTCAGAACAGCTCCGTCGGTTTCTAATGGCAAATAGCTAATACGTAACAGTCAACACAAATCTGGGTAGGAATGGAGAGAGAACACGGCTTGTTACGGGGCTAAGGAGGAATGTGAGAGTGTACAGGCTGGACCTTCAGAGAAGGGGTGGGGTGGGGAGGAGAAGCACAGTACTTCAGATTCTCTTTTTTAACCGGTTTCCAGCCCATTGCATAGCAGTCAGTTCATCTGCTACCTAACGCGCTGCCAGGGACGGGCAGGTGGGATTCCAGCTTTGGTTTCTCCTTCAGTCTTGCTCTTTCATACTGTGCAGCGGATCGACGAGTTTGTTGTGCACATGCATTAAACCTTCCCAAAAGAAAAAGAAAGAAAAGAGCAAATTGTATCCATCATCATACAAGTTTCTTTCTTTTTTACTTACATTTATTAGTGCAGAAAAGCTGCCATTTGGGGATTTTATAGTTTCCAGGGCTCTTTTTGTAGAAAAATCCCAGCAGGAACTCATTAGCATAATAGGCCACACCCAACAGCAGGAACTCATTAGCACACTAGGCCACACCCTGACAGCCCAGCTCCTTAGCACATTAGGCCGCACCCCCATGTTACCAGAAGTGTGGTCATCCAGCCACACCCACCTTTTGCTTCTTATTCTGTTTACCTTGTTTGTTGTCAAAACCCAGGGCTTTTTTGTAGCCGGAACTCCTTTGCATGTTAGGCCACACAACCCTAATGTAGCCAATCCTAATGCTAATGAGTTCCTGCTGGGTGTGGTTAACTTGGGAGCCAGACGGAACTCCGTTCCTGTGCGTTCCTGCCCAAAAATAGCCCTAGTTTTAACAGTTACCAGCTCCATTTCACTAATAAGCATTCGTAGAAAACGGGGCTGCTAAGGACCAAGTCAGATGATGCTCCAGTGATATCTTAAAAGCTCCATTATCATTTGGAGGGGGAGACAAGAGGGGTTTCGAGCCTTCATGCTATTTTACTCATCCCCCGTCCTAAAGAACTGTTGTTTGCCCTGTTGTGGGAAACCATATGGGTACTAGTTTGCCTAAAAGAGACAAACAAGTCACTCCCCTAGGCCATTTTAAATCAGGGAAACAGGAGGGAAGGGGGAAAGTCCTGATCAGAATCACACCTTTGTGCCTGATAACAGGGTGGGTTTTTTTTTTAATGTTGCAAGTTTCTATCCCCAATCTCCCAGCATTGCTTCCGGTTGGCCTAAGTCCACACACTGCAATACAGAATTTGGCCTCTGTTTTCAAGCCCTGCTACAACTAAGGATGGATATTCTTTTCCCCTTGGTTGCCAGCTCTCTTTTTGAAGCTCCACCTCTCCCCAGCATGGTGATGTAGTGCCTGGGAATTGTGCAGTGTTAGAAAGATGGGGAAGAAGTACCGTCATTGATGTAAATAGTGTTTGGCAATATACAGACAAATGAGCTTGCCATTATCAAAGAGGTTTCTTTGCACCATGAAGTACAAAAACCTGCAGCTCTGGTTTTTCTTGGACACAAGAATGAACAGAAACGGCACAGGTCTGTATTACTGTTTGGGAATCCAAACATTTGGCATTACTGATTTATGTACCCCCATCCCTAGATAGCTGCAGTGGCTCAAGTGGTTAAGACGCTGAACTGCAGGCTATGGAAGGTCAGCAGTTCGAGACCCAAGTTGCCGCATGATGGAGTGAGCTCCCATCTCTAGTTCCAGCTCCTGCCAACCTAGCAGTTCGAAAGCAAGAAATTGCAAGTAGATAAAAAGGTACCACTTTGGTGGGAAGGTAACAGCGTTCCGTGCACCTTGGTGTTTAGTCATGCTGTCCACACGACCACGGAAACTTCTTCGGACAGCGCTGGCTCTTTGGATTTGAAACGGAGATGAGCACCGCAATCCTAGAGTTGGACTCGACTGGCTTTCGAGCAAGGGAACCTTTACCTTTACTTTATCCCTACAACAGATGCATTATCAAGGTACTAAAAGAAAAGATTTTTCATATGCATTTCTAAAACAGCGGGAAGAGAAAGAAAACAGGTCTAGGTAACGGGTGCAAAGGATACTGAACTGTCAGCTACAGGTGTGTAATATTTTTGAATGCTAGTCTACATTTAAAACTTCATCGTGCCCATTTTCTACTTGCAGGGAAAAGATATGAGCCCAATCTTCTTCCTGGTTGGCTAGTTTTCTGCTTGCAGGGTTTAAAAAACCAAACAAACATGGAGAAAGCATTTTAAAAATTCTGATTCTCTGACTTGCGGCCTGAAATGATACAGCAGAATGAGACTGCAGAATGGACTGCATGGGTGAACAAAACCACAATTGCCCCTTAAGAAGAGCAGGCCCTATTAAAAACAACCTGAAATTAAGAGATGTATGGGTTTTTTAAAAAAAAATCACTTACTTTTTATATTAAAAGAATACATTCAGTTTGCTACCTACTCTTGTCCTGGAAAAAACGTTTCATATTACACAGGCATGTGCTTTGCAAACGTTTTTGTAGCACACCACATACCATGAAAGTAGATCTCAGTGGTTTCCACGGCACATTAAAATCACACGGCTGCCCTCTCTGTTAACAGACTGTATTTATCAATGAGGCAAAAAGCTAACACCACAGAAAAGACTTCCATATGCTCTCAGTCACAGTGCTTTGCAAATGGAGCTAGTCTGCAGCAGTGTTCCCTCTAAGCTGAGTTAGTGCGAGCTAGCTCACAGTTCTTTAGCCTCCGGCTCACACAATGTTTGTCTTAGCTCAGGAAGGAGGGCTCCAGAGCAAACTAATTTATGCAGCAGCCAAACTGCTTGCTCACAAATTGAATGCCAGTAGCTTACAAAGTAGAATTTTTGCTCACCAGACCCCGCAGCTTAGAGGGAGCATTGGTCTGAAGTCCGCTCCAAGAAGCAGACTCTTAGCAGGGGATACAGATACATCCTCAGGGCCACCAAGACTGCTGGGTGACCTTGGGCCAGTCTTCCTGTCATCCTAACCTACCTCCAGAAAGCTGTTGTGAGAAAAGACTGAATACAGGATAAAAGTGCAGTAAATTAAACACGTAAACTGACTCTCAGCCTCTTAGGGAAGGGGATGCTCACCTTTAAAATACTTCACAGTTTTAACTCTTAGTTCTAAGGTAGCATCTTCATCGCAGACAAAGATAGTGTGAGGATGCTGCTGGAAAGCAGACACTGTCCACATATGATTGACCCCTTCTTCAATTGCCTTGTACAAGGCAAAAGCTTTGTGCGCGCCTGTGATTAGAATCATTACCTGGGAGAAGGAGAAAAGTGAATATGAGACTATTTCAAGACACGATTGCTTTGCTAGAACAAATCTGTGGCCAAGTGCTACAACAGACAGGAATACATTCCCTTCCCCGCCCCAGTTGGCTTTGTTTTATACATCTGTGAAAAAGATGTGTACCCCCCCCCCAAAGGCTTAGATTGGCATGCCCCATAATGTATTGGTTAAGAGCGGCGGACTAAGATCTGCACAACGCGGTTTGATTCACCACTGCTCCACATTATGGTTGGAAGGAGAGTCTGAAGTGGACTTTAGATAGATGGAACGGCTATCTATACGAATATATCCAATCAGATATATTGGAATGTATTAAACAAGATAAGGCATGGGATGGAAAGATGAAGGAGATAAAAAAGAAATGGTCTACATACTTTCAATGGGTAAATAATGGAGAAGCCAATACTGTTATACTTGAAAAAATGGAAAAAATGTGCTCATGGTTAAAAATTAATTTGTAGTTATGTGATGGTCACCTGGTGGGGGGGTAGGATATAAAACGGGGGGAAATGTATCATAAGAGAATTGGGATTGTATTGTAATGTAATGTAATAATAATTTATGATGCATATTAAAAAATTGGAAATAAAAAACACAATAATACCCCAAAAAAACGGGGTGGGGGGGGACCACTGCTCCACATGAAGCCTGCTAGGTGACCTTGGGCCAATCCCATTTTCTCAGAGTTCTCTCAGCCCCACCTGGCTCACGGGGTGCCTGTTGTGGGGAGAGGAAGGGAAGGAGATTATAAGGTAAAGAAAAGGGAGGTTTAAAAAACCTACTACTTGTTCCATGGATGGAAGGATTTCTTGTTCATGGGAAAGCAAGATCCCCAAAACAAAGTTGAGGGGGTGGATTTAAGCTGCCGCAGGAGGGAAGAGGGAGAAAACTGCGCTCCATGCGTAAGAAATCCTTCTGCCCATGGAAAAAGTCCGTAAGATCGAATTAAAACCCTCTTACAATCTAAATACGGCAGTCTAGGGAACGTTAACATTGGTCCTTCTTCATTAAATCAAGACATATCCGTTACATAAGAAGTATTCCAATAAAAGGGGAGTTTGTTGTGATTGTGAACTATTCTTATTTCCACTCAGGACGACCCCTTGGTTATAATCAGAGTAGCAGTGCGTACAAACCAAGCCAGGATGTTTCATAATGCCCAGCACGCACACACCCCTCATTGGTGAATATAAATGTCAACAAACTCACTCACCCCACTCTGTCCTTTCCATCATTTTAGTGCCTGTATCATTTACCCTCAAGCACGAGATACAACCCAAGCCCTCCTCTCAGTCCTCCTGGCCTAGTTTTCAGTGAGATGTGGTAAGGTTAAGTTTGGGTTATGCTGCCGCATGCAGGGGGCTAGGGTAACCAAAATTCACAGATGCCAGGAAGGAGGGTTCCAGCCTCACCATCTAAGCCTCACCCTCTTTCCAGCTTCTTCTTCTTCTTCTTTTTTGAGCCACCGGAGGGAATTTTTTATTATTTTTTTATATCACTGAAAAAACTATAACAGAAAAAAAAGGGAGGGAAACTACATTTACGGGATAAAGTAAAGGACCCACTACTAACTAAAAACCCAAGAGAGGAGATCCTCCTACTAGCTTAGTTACATCAAGTCTTCCCAACCTTAATCACATTACAAACTGAGTCAAACATTTATAATGCTTTTCCAACTTCTTCTCTATGGGCACGGAAAGTGCCTTTTGTATAGGTTGGTATTCAAAAGACGGAAGCTTTCCAGTTCTGTCAAAAAGTGGTTCTACCCAGAGATGGCAGGAATCAGGCCTCGGTCCACATGCAGAACACAGCAAGGGACAGTGTCTAAGCTACAAGGAGTCCAACCTTTGACTGTAGTTTGCCCAGAAAAGGGGGAGGGGATAAAAAGCCCTGCCCTCACACCTCCGGACACACTTAAAAGACCAATTGAGCTTTGAGACACGTTCCGCCCTCACAAATGAAATGTCTTTATCCCATCGTACGACAAAGCGTCTTTTCTCTTTTTATACATTTCTATCCTAACCAGTGTTCCCTCTAAGTTGAGTTAGCGTGAGCTAGCTCACCGTTTTTTAGCCTCCGGCTCACACATTTTTTGTCTTAGCTCAGGAAGGAGGGCTCCAGAGCAAACTAATTCACGCAGCAGCCAAATCGCTCGCTCACAAGTCACAACTTTAATGCCAACAGCTCACAAAGTAGAATTTTTGCTCACAAGACTCCACGGCTTAGAGGGAGCATTGATCCTAACCTTCCTCCAAAGGCAGGGTAAATTGTTCTCCCTTTTTTTTTTCCATTCAGTCCTCGTAACAAGTCTGTGAGAGCCAGTTTGGTGTAGGGGTTAAGAGTGCGGACTCTAATCTGGAAGAACCGGGTTTGATTCCCCACTCCTCCACTTGCACCTGCTGGATGACCTTGGGCAAGCCGTAGTTCTGATAATTTATTTATTTATTTATAATTTCAATTTATAGCCCACCCTCCCCGCAATGCAGGCTCAGGGCGGTTCACAATTAGGCATACGCCACACATAAAACAGTTCAAACCATAAAACCATTGTTACAAAATTACAAAAATTACAGAAAACATATTAAGTGCTCTAGATGTTCTAACAAATCTTTCATCAAGATGGCATATCTAAGATGGTATATCTAATCTCTATCTAAGATGGTATATCTAATCAGTGCCATCAGTTCCACATGGCACTGTCGCTCTCTCTTTCCAGGGCCAGTTAATAAGAGCTGTCCTTGAAGAAGAGCAGTTTCTGTCAGAGCTTATCCTCAGCTGTGTTGGCGCAATCTGCCTCAGTCCTGCCACCTCCCTCTCCCAGCCTTTCTTGCATGGGTGCATGGCCCTCGGCTGCCCTAAGCTCAGGTAGCTGGGACCCGGTTGAGTTGGGACCGGGCTTCAGTTCCTGACACACCTATGAGGACAAAGGTCTAACTCATTCCAGAAGATAAGGATAACTGCTGTTGTGGAAATGGGCAATGGGGTGTGTGTCTGTGCTAGTGAAAGTAAAGCAAGACACTAGCAGCAAATGCTGAAGCGAACAGATTTAATTTCCGGATTCACAGAATCATGGGGTTTGGATGGGACCCCTAGGCTCCTCTAATCCACAAATTCCTCCCAAATTAATCTACCAGTTATTGACAATACATCTTTTATCCAGCATGGTGTCGTGGTCAAGAGTGGCAGACTCTGATCTGGAGAACCGGGTTTGATTCCCCCACTCCTCCTCCACAGGAAGCCTGCTGGGTGACCTTGGGCCAGTCCCAGTTCTCTCAGAACCCTCTCAGCCCCGCCTGCCTCACAAGGTGCCTGTTGTGGGGAGAGGAAGGAAATGTGATTGTAAGCAGTCATGAGACTCCTTACTGTAAAAAAAAGTGGGGTATACAAACCTACTCTTCTTCTTCTTCAATTCAGTCAGTGTGGTGTAATGATTAGAAATATTGGACTAGGATTTGGGAGACCTCAGGATAAGTCCCAACCAATGTTCCCTCTAAGCTGTGGAGTCTTGTGGGCAAAAATTCTACTTTGTGAGCTGCTGGCATTAAAGTTGTGAGCAAGCGATTTGGCTGCTGCATAAATTAGTTTGCTCTGGAGCCATCCTTCCTGAGCTAAGACAAAAATGTGTGAGCCGGAGGCTAAAAAACTGTGAGCTAGCTCACCCTAACTCAGCTTAGAGGGAACACTGGTCCCAACTCTGCCACGGAAGTTCCCTGTGGGCTCTTGGGCCAATCGCGTACTTTCAGTTTAACCTGCCTCAGAGGGTTCTTGTCACGAGGATAAAATCAAGGTGGGGACAATGTTGTTGCAGACTGCTCAAAAAGCGGGACACAGATATTTCAACAAATGAAACGCATACCCCATGTCAGGACAAAAAGAGCGATCTTACTTCTCTAGCATCCATCACTGTTCCCACACCAACGGTTAAGGCCATCGTTGGAACTTTAGATAAGTTCCCATCAAAGTATTTTGCATTTGCCAGAATGGTGTCCATAGCCAGCGTCTTCAGTCTTGTTCTTGATACTAAACTGGAGCCTGGCTCATTGAAGGCAATGTGGCCATCTGGACCAATGCCTTTGAAGAGAACACACACACAGTGAAGACAATTAATGAGTACTCTCAAGAGCCTTGGGAAACATCTTTAAAGACAGCAGACCTGTGGGATATAATGGAACTCACAAAACCAAAAAAGGACCCACGGTAGAAAGGACCCACGGTACTTATTCTGTTCCTGCTATCTTTCATGCTAGTATTTGGCAACCTTGTGCTGAGAATTATTGTTGAGCTCCCTGAGGAAGATTCTGAAACAGAAGGATATCTGGTCCTCTGTTGGAGGAAGACAGAGCACATGTTATAAAGAGTCTTTAAGGAGTCCTCCCTCTTGAAACTTTTGTTTAACAGAGGAGGACTGGTATTAATTATAAGGCTGTACTATATCTTTTGAGATTCTTTGGAGATGATATTGGTATTTTGATATTTCTTATATTATGAATTGTGACTGAGAAGGATTATATATGATGAAATTATTGGAGAAATATTTTTCATAAAAATATAAAATTATTTATGGTATGTTATAATCCTCTGTGCACAGTATTTGTTGTTTGTTGGATATAATGGGACAGCAATACTGAGACCTTGCCTCGGCACTACATCACTGAACTTAAGTTGGATGTCTCAAACATCTGTCTGAAACTGTTTGGGTTTTTGTAAGAAATATGTTCAAAAGGGAAAAGGAAAACATCAGAGATGGGTGGGAGAGGTAAGCTTCAACAAAGACACACAGAGGTCTGGAACAAACAAATCAAGCTTCACAGTTGCAGCTGAATTTGTATGATAGATACTTAGTATTGCCAAAAGGCCTGGAGGGGAAAAAATGCCCTGTTCCTTTGGTGGTGAAAAGTACTGTTAAGTTGCAGCTAACGTATGGTGACCCCATAGGCTTTTCAAGGCGAGAGATGAACAGAGGTGCTTAGCCATTGCCTGCCTCTGTATAGCAACTGTGTACTGTGTAGTATATGGAGCAGAGGTCCACCAGTGGCTATTAGCCACAAGGTATAGATAGGGACTCTGGGGCAAGTGATGCTCTGTCTTCTTGATGCTGGGGGGGGGTCAAAAGTGGGAGGGCTTCTAATGTCCTGGCCCCACTGGTGGACCTCCTGATGGCACCTGGCATTTCTGGCCACTGTGTGACACAGAGTGTTGGACTGGATGGGCCTTTGGCCTGATCCAACATTGGCGTCTCTTATGTTCTTAACCCTGGTCTTCCTTTAGGGCTGCCAAATGCAGCCGGGGGGCGGGGAATCCCCCGTTTCGGAGCCCCAATTCCCGGCGCGCCGGAATCGGGGCCCGGGGGAAACCCCACCCCCGCGTGCGCGTCACCCGGAAGTGACGTTGCACGCTGGGGGCGGGGCCACGCCATTTGAGGGGAAAACTCTTTGTTTTCCCCTCAAATGGTGTGGCCCCGCCCAGCGTGTGACGTCACTTCCGGTGACGCTCCGGCAGCGCGCGCGCGCACACACCCAGAAGACTCCCGGACGGGAAGGAGCCTCCCCCGCCGGTGAGTCAAATCGATTTGGCAACCCTATCTTCCTTGGTGTTCTGCCATCCAAGTACTAACCATGGCTGACCCTGCTTAGCTTCACAGGTCTGTAAAAATATACCAAAACACTGTATAAAAGTTATATTACATATATTTATGTACACTAATGTACATTTGTAACTGTTCCACAATTTGTACAGTAGAACAGAATGTCTTATATGTGTTTCAAACAAAATATAATAAAGTTTATAAAACCATTCACTATGTATTCGCCTAGTTCTTCATAGTACCACTAATGTATGAGGAAACAAACTCAAAACCAAACAAAGTGTCCAAAAAGCTGCAAATAAGGTGAAAAGCAGCTCAAGAAATGAACATGTAGCAGGCTGCAGAGTTTGACTAACTTCAAACAAAGTGAAGACGAGTTTCTTAGGTTGAATCTCGTTTCTAATCGTCATCAGAGTCGTATCATCTTTACAGACCCCTATATACACAAGAAGCTTGAATCCAGAGCCAGTTCTATTCTGTCTGTTGCAAAAAACCAATCCCAATTTAACATGGAGCACAATAGGCTTCAAACTTGGAAGGATTGGCAGAAAGTTCTCATTTGGACACTTTGTTTGGTTTTGCTTTTGTTTCCTCTTGCATTGGTGGCACTATAAAGAACAATGTGAAATACGTAGTGAATGGTTTTATAAACTTTATTGTATTTTGTCTGAAATGCATGTAAGACATTCTGTGCTTTTGTACAAATTGCGGAACGGTTACAAATGTACATTAGTGAATACAAATATATGTAATATAATTTTTACACGACGTTTTAGTATATTTTTATAGTCTGTACACTGTGTTCCCTGTCGTTTGTTTGTTAGCTTCTGAGGTCTGATAAGATCTGCTAGCCTGGGCCATCCATCCCTTTTCCTTTGTTGTTGTTGTTGTTCAGTCGCACAGTCGAGTCCGACTCTTCGCGACCCCATGGACCAGATCATGCCAGGCCTTCCGGTCTTCCGCCGTCCTCTGAAGTGTGCTCAATTTCATGTTGGTTGCATCCATGACACTGTCTAACCATCTCATCCTTTGCCGTCCCCGTCCTCTTTGACCTTCAATCTTTCCCAGCATCAGGGTCTTCTCCAGTGAGTGCTCCCTTCTCATTGGGTGGCCAAAGTATTTGAGCTTCAGTTTCATTATCTGGCTTATTGTGTGGAAATGGGTAGCTGAAGCTCTTTATGGCACAGAAGTAAGTAAAATCATCCAGCAAATAATATTCCATTAAGGGGACTGGACATTTGTATTTCAGGTAATCGGCAGTCCTACGAGACTCAAGTAGGTCTCTGGAAAGAAGGTGTATAAAATAATTTTTAAAAAAATACTAGGCTTTATGGACAGAGAACAAGTGTGCATCTATCTTAAGCCCATGTGTGTAAGCAATGCATGCAAAAGGAAGCTGGCAGGCCACCTTAATGTACAATTAAATTCTCACCTCCCTGTGTTTCCTCCTGTTCTTTTTGCGTTAATCAGGGGTCATTTCCTGCAGGAACGCACAGGAGCGGAGCTCCGGCAGTAAAGAGCCCAGGGGGCGTGCACATGCAACAAGCTCCACCCCCTGCTCCCAGCAACCCTCAGTCAGAGCAAGAAGCAGCCAGGTAAGTTGCAGTGGGTGTTGCCTTCGGACACACTTCCGTTGATGTTAGGGGGTGTGGCATATGCAAATAAGTTATGCTAATGAGTTATACTAATGAGCTCCTGCACCTCTTTTTCTACAAAATGACCCCTGGCGTTAATCATTCAGGCCTGGGATAATGACTCATTCTTTTTCAAAAAAACAAGCATCAGAATCAAAACAACACTCTGTTACCTCCAACAAATAGATCAATTCCTCCAGCTTCTTCAATCTTTTTTTCAAACGCCTCACACTCTGCCTTTAAGTCTGGAGCATTCCCATCGAGAATATGAGCGTTGCTTGGATCTATATCAATATGCTTAAAAAAACTGTTCCACATGTAAGAATGGTAGCTCTCTGGATGATTTCTGGGAAGTCCTGGAAATAGGATTTAACACAAAGGTTAGCTTTCCCCCCACACCCTTCGCAGTTCAACTATGGAAAGGAAACAGGTTTCTTAGATCCGTAGATCCACACATTAAACCAATCCTGTCCTACTTTAGTTCCAGCCATTTGTGGATTCTGTTCTACCATTATGAGAGCCCATGTCTGTAGCAGGAGAAAGAACCTACCTACATATTCATCCATATTGAATGTCTTCACATATTTGAATGAGAGATCTCCTTTTTTATGATACTCAATCAGCTTTTGGTAACAGCCCAGAGGTGTGCTTCCTGCATTAAACAAATCATTTCATTATTACTTCTGCTAGAAGGAAATGACCTTCATTGTAGTTACAAACAACTATTTATTTAGATTTTATTCCCTCCGCCATTTTTTCCCCCTTGCAACAACCAACCCTGTAAGGGATGTTCGGCCAAGACAGTGACCAGTCCAAGGTCACCCCGCAAGCTTCCATGGCAACAGCAGAGAGGTATTTTTCCTTGGGCATGACATCTCACAATTCTGGGTTAGCTACCATTATTTACTCCAGTTTGTGCATTTTCTCTTCCTTTGAATAATTCCTCTTCACTTTAAAAAATATACCTCCCTGTTCTTGTCAGCTTACTTCCGTTGTTCTCACTCTACAGCCCACATACAGCCACATCTGCACTTACCATCAATCAAAACAGCCACATTTACTTCCATCCAGGGGTCTTTTCCTTGCAGGAGCGCACAGGAGCGAAGCTCCGGCAGTAAGGAACTCAGGGGGCGGGCACATGCAACAAGCCCCACCCCCTGCTTCCAGCAGCCCTCAGTCGGGCCATGAGGAGCAAGAAGCAGACAGGTAAGTTGCAGAGGCCCCCCCCCCCGGCCCGTCTTCAGGTACAAACTTTCCCTCCTCTGTGAGGACAGATCTGCACGTCCCCCCCCAATAGCTAGCAATCCAAAACAGTCCAGTGGAGCCTGAGTGGTGGGTGTTACCTTCTGACACATTTCCTGTGATGTCAGGGGGTGTGGCATATGCAAACAGGTTATGCTAATAAGTTATGCTAATGAGCTCCTGCACCTCTTTTTCTACGAAATGACCCCTGCTTCCATCTCTGGCATGAGGCCTATACCTCCGCAAGGCTGTCAGCTTACCTGGATGTAGCTCCTTCAAGGTGGGAACCACCTGTCAAACATAAGCCCCAACAGGCAAGAGCCTTGTTCACTTTCCTTAAACATGGGGCAGGTTCCACATTAGGAAAGGGTACTCAGAAGAGCCACAAGTAGCATGTCAGAGCCGTGTGTGGCTCCTGAGTCACTGATTGAGGACCACTGGTTTGACTTGTTATCCCTCAGTTATCAATCCAGGATTGGGTGGGCCAGATTCTAGGTTTTCAAACCTTTTAAAATTCCCACTGGCAACCTCCATGCAATGGGGAATGTGGGAAATTGTGACAGAAAATCCTGTGGTGTGATGTCTCGCCCTGAGTAGAGATGTAAAATTTCCGGAAATTTTGAAGCTCAAGCTCGGAAAAACCCCCGTTTTTTTTCCGGGGGAAAACAGAAATTTTTGGAGAAATTGAAAAAAAAATGCTACATTAGCATTTCTTGTTGTCTTTTCTAGATTGAAAGTCATTCTGTTACTTTAGGAACATAAAATATGACTATGGACATTTTTACTTGGCATTAAATTATCACAACTAGCATATTAAAAATATAGTGTATCCAAACAATTATTACAAACAGAATACCCATCCACATGCAAAAACAAAACTGAAACTTTTTTATTTTCTTCTGACAATCGCACCTCCTAAAGGAAGAAATGCATTTTGTTCTTGCACTGGAGAGTTCAGTTTGTAACCTAGGACTTGCTTGTCCTCAGTGCACAGAAATTAGATCAATCTGATACTATATATATATATTTTAGAAATGATTTGGAAAATATTTGAACACCTTGTCTTAAAATATTTTATTCATCATGTTAAAAATAAAACGTTCCATAATCAATTTTTTTTTCCTTTTCTTTTCTTTTTAATTTTTCCAAATTTTCGGGAAAAAAACAAAAACGCTTCAGGAAAAAAACGGGGAAAAAACATTTCCCCCCCGAATTTTTCCCGGCCTTCACATCTCTAGCCCTAAGAAAACTATCTCAGGGTTGTTGTGAAGATAAAATTGAGGAGAACCACATGCACCAAGTGATGGTTCTGGCTATGGCTGAATTACAATGCTGGCAGGCTGTGCTCTGACACCGGGGCATGCATTTATTTTGTGTTTCCCCCACCCCCTTTATATACTTGTTTTATGGGTTTTGAATAAAGTTAAGGTAGTTTTGAAGAGTAAGAAATAATTGGAGTGCAGAGGAGACAAAGATAAGTGGAGGCCCATGAACGATTTGTCGCAGTGTGGTTCAGAGTGCTTCAGTATATGTCAGAGAAGAACATAATTCCGTCTAAGGCTGCTTATATTCCTTGGATACGTTTTTAATCTTACGCTGGTTTAGGCTAGTAGGACACAATACTTTAGTTCGATCACCACTTGAGTAATCGGGGCTCCTTGTGTCTTTCATTAGCATACAAATGGAAAGACGTTGTTTAAGGTTTTTTGCTACGTAATTTATTTTGGTTAGGCTGTGTTTTTATGTTTTTGCTTTGGATATTCATTCAATGTATCAGCTTGTTCTTGTGACATGTTTGAATGCACCGTTATGTTGTTTTATCCTTCTTAATATTAATAAAAAACTTTTTTAAAAAAGATAAGTGGAGTGAAAGATTACGAACTATCAGAGTGATAAGGAGTGAAAGGAGATGGCTAACTAGAAGGTGGCACAGATATAGATATTTGCATTTAGTTAAAAGTTTTTTTTTCTTTTGCCAGCATTCAAGTATTAGATAGCTGGCATCAATGCTCCCTCTAAGCTGTGGAGTCTTGTGAGCAAAAATTGTACTTTGTGAGCTACTGGCATTAAAATTGTGAGCGAGTGATTTGGCCACTGCATAAATTAGTTTGCTCTTGTCCTGAGCCAAGACAAAAATGTATGAGCCGGAGGCTAAAAAACTGTGAGCTAGCTCACACTAACTCAGCTTAGAGGGAACACTGGCTGGCATAATACTGGAATTATTCCCCCCCCCTCCTTTCAAGGGGAGGGAGAGCCAAGGTAAGAAGTCTTATGGACACCAAGAGGGGTCTTTTGGAGGAGCGATGGGATAAAATACAATAAATGGGTACAATAAATACAATTCTGCACGTGCCCTATGGTGGACCACTTGCAAGCAGAGGGGAGTTTCAAATTCAGTTTGGAAAACTGGCATGACAACAGGCATGAAAATGCCAACATGGCATAGTGCAGAGTTACAATGCGGAAGACCACTGTTAATACAAGGAGGTAGTGGTGACCACAAGTTTCTCTCTGTCTGTGTGATGACAGCACCAAGTTGGAAGGGGTTAATGGTGTCAGGTTTTCCTTCTTAAGTAATTGCACCTGGTGTTGAATGCTGGAGATGTTTTCATTCACCCTTGGAATGAATCCCAGCTGGACTTGTTTCATAGACACTATAAGTTAAAAAGGTAAAGGTTCCCTTGCTCGAAAGCCAGTCGAATCCGACTCTAGGGTTGCGGTGCTCATCTCCGTTTCAAAGCCGAAGAGCCAGCGCTGTCCGAAGACGTTTCCGTGGTCATGTGGCCGGCATGACTAAACACCAAGGCGCACGGAACGCTGTTACCTTCCCACCGAAGTGGTACCTATTTATCTACTTGCTATTTCTTGCTTTCGAACTGCTAGGTTGGCAGGAGCTGGAACTAGAGACAGGAGCTCACCCTGTCTTGCGGCACCCGGGTCTTGAACCGCTGAACTACTGACCTTCCACAGCCTGCAGTTCAGCGTCTTAACCACTTGAGCCACCACAGCTCCTTCACTATAAGTTAGGAGGGGTTATTTTTCTTCAGGAGGAGAAAAACAACTCAGGTCAGGCCAGGCTGGTGCTGAGCAATCTTCAGACCAGGGCTATTTTTGGGCAGGAACGCACAGGAACAGAGTTCCGGCTGGCTTCAGAGTTGGCCACGCCCACTACAGCCAAAACCTCTCCGTGCATGGCTACAGGAGAAGGCCTGGAGGGTGACACACCCCCTCGGCGACTCCGAGGCAGGCGGGCCAGGAGGGGCTCTGAAAGGATAAGGGAGGTATTTAAATGCCTCCCTGTGCCTTCCCTGGCCTGTCTAAGGGCCGGCTTGCCTGGGCTCCCTGCAGCCATGGGGCACCCGGGCAAGCCAAGGGAAGGCAGTTTAAACTGCCTTCCCTTCCCTCCAAGGGCCGGCTTGCCTGGGCTCCCCGCAACTGCGGGGCACCTGGGCAAGCCAAGGGAAGGTATGGGGGGGTGGCCCAATAGGCTAATGAGTTTCTGCTGTTGGGTGTGGCCTATTATGCTAATGAGTTTCTGCTGGGCTTTTCCTGCAAAAGTAGCCCTGCTGCAGACCATACACCTGAATCAACCCACCACTATTTTCAGGGCAGAAAGGGACATGGGTATAAGCCTTTTGTTATTCTCTGTTTTATGTTTGTAATTTGTATAAAAATAAAGCTGTTTCTCCTTCCAACACCAATTTGGTCATTGCTTCTTGAAGTCCTTAAAAGAACTGTTTGCCAAATGGGCAACACACATAAGTTGTTAGCATGTCAGACTAGGATCGGGGAAACCAGGTTCAAACCTCTACTCTGTTGTAGAAACTGAGGGGATGGTCTTGGGCCAGTCACATGTCCTCATCCTTACAGGCTGACTCTTGTGAGGAGAAAATGGATGAGGGGGAAATGTCATAAGCCGCTTCCGTTCCTCATTGGAGAGAAAAGTGGGATATAAGTAGTTAAACAAATAAACAGGGAAACACTTTGCATGCTTCACATGAAGGATCACTTGCTCATCACCATATCTTTCACTATTACCAACTGCAGAAAGCTCACTTCAGCCTCTTCCCTCACATTAACCATCCCTTTAGGGTTGCCAGCCTCCAGGTATGGGCTGGAGATCTCCTGCTTTTACAACTGATCTCCAGCTGACAGAGATCAGCTCCCCTGGAGAAAATGGCTGCTTTGAAGGGTGGACTCTACGGCATTGAACCATATTGAAGCCCCTCCCCTCCCCAAACCCCACCCTCTCCTGGATCCACCCCCAAAGTCTCCAGGTATTTTCCAACCCAGACCTGGCAACCCTACGTCCCTTCCTGTTCTGCCATTGACAACAGTTTCATCTGGAGCAACTCACAGCATCCCACAAAACTTTTCAAGGAGATGTCTTGGTCAATGATCAAGTGTAGAGTAATTATCAAGAGTAGAGTAAGCAATCCTATTGCTGTTACACTACTCCATACTCGGGCTTCTGAAGGCGCATTAATAAACTGACCAACTCCTTTACGATGAGGTGTTGTTTTTTTTAAACGGTGGAAAGAAAGTTAATTCGTACCAAAACTTTTAAAAAACACTGCCAAAAGGCACATCGAAAACAGTAAATTGCCAGTGCTGGACATTAGAAAACGGATTATTCTTGATACTGGAAAAGTGTAAAGAGTGTGGCCTACAACCCCAAACCAATTTTTAATCTCCTAGCCTGATCCGACCAATAGTTCCATAGGAGCAAATCTCAGCCTGTTAAGCATGACAGGCCTAGTTTAAATGCACAGGAGAGTGAAGACCCCCCCCCCCACATGAACACACACGTAAAGTAGAACGGTTTGCACCAATTCCAAGCAACGGTGGGCTCTAGCTCTAAATTTTCCTTTGCATTTAAAAAATGACAAAAAAGAGGCAAAACAGAAACTAGCCCAGCAGGAAGAAAGGTTCTGCCTCCTCTTTGCTGGGAGTTTTTAACATATAGGAGTATTCCGACATGAGTCTCCACTTGTAATCTGAGGTGGATTCTACCACCTCGTTCTCCTGCAAGGGTGAACTAGGATTTATTTGGGAGTAAATCTACACATCACAAATTAGATGTTTCATGAGGTTTCACACATATGCACCTTGACCTGGATGGCCCAGCCGGGACCCAAATGGCCCAGCCCAGCCCCACCTTGTCAGATCTCAGAAGCTAAGGAAGGATGGCCCTGGCTGGGTGGGAGACGAGCAAGTTCCGACACAGAGGCAGGTAATGGCATGTATGTATGGGTCTTGTCCTGAAAACCCAAAGTGGTTGCCATACGTTGCTGTGACTTGACGGCACTTTCCCCCACCACAGAGAGGTAAAGGTAAAGGTTTCCTTTGCTCGAAAGCCAGTCGAATCTGACTCTAGGGTTGCGGTGCTCATCTCCGTTTCAAAGCTGAAGAGCCAGCGCTGTCCGAAGACGTTTCTGTGGTCATTTGGCCGGCACGACTAAACACCAAGGCGCACGGAACGCTGTTACCTTCCCACCGAAGTGGTACCTATTTATCTACTTGGAATTCCTTGCTTTCGAACTGCTAGGTTGGCAGGAGCTGGAACTAGAGACGGGAGCTCACTCCGTCATGCGGCACCCGGGTCTCGAACTGCTGAACTATCGACCTTCCACAGCCTGCAGTTCAGCATCTTAACCACTTGAGCCACCGCAGCTCCACCACACAGAGGTACCTTACCTGTAAAATACATACTGGCCTGCCTGAATGCACTTATAGCATTCACAAGGACACACACACCCCACTCAGCCCTCAGTTCCAGAGAACTTTCCCCTCATCCTCTAGCTCCTTCTCTTCTCACTGTAATTTACTTGCTCTAGAAGCGTTTGGAAAACATTATAAGCAGGCAGGGTTTCTACCCAAAAGCAGAATCAGCGAGATCAATATATGGATGGACTCTTTCTTGGTATAAAGAACAGACCTAAACACACAACAGAATGATGTGGCAGAAAAGTGCTTCCACTTCAGAATGCAGGGCAGAAGAGATTGGATTTATACCCCACCCTTCACTCTGAGTCTCAGAGCGGCTTACAAACTCCTTTCCCTTCCCCTTCCCACAACAGACACCCTGTGAGGTAGGTGGGGCTGAGAGAGCTCTGACAGAAACTGCTCTTTTCAAGAACACCTCTGACAGAACTATGGCCAAGGTCATCCAGCAGCTGCGAGTGGAGGAGTGGGGAATCAAACCCAGTTCTCCCAGATTAGAGTCCGCGCACTTAACCACTACACCAAACTGGCTCTCAAAACCTTCCTTTAATAGAAAAATAATACACAGACTGGGGTATAACTTTTTCCTCTTTACCTGAGGGTTCCCCCTGCAAACACAGGGACAACAATCAAAAATGGCATCCCCCTGAACTCTTACATCTACTTGACTACCTCAGGAGCTAGGCCACAGTCCCACTGAAGCCAGTGGAAGTTTGATTCTCAGTAACCCTGGTTTTGACAGTGTTGTGAATAAATGCTAGCCATGTTAGCTGGCTGAAACGTTAAAATAAAAAACAAAAGTTGCTTCAGAGCTCAAATGCACACACGGCAGAAATGCACACAACAGGAACCGAACAGTCACTTTTGTTAGGGAGAAGTAAAATAACTTTAACAGAAGGGGAAGTGGCTGGGATTTAGTTCTTTCCCCTGCTGGCTGTTTGCCAACTGCAGTCTCAGGGCCATCTTGCAAGGGGAAAAGGGGCTTGGGGAGGGCGAGCTGAAGCAAAAGACCAGTAGGTAGGGAAAACAGTAAACATCGTCGCCACTAGCCACTTCTGCGCTCCCAGCAGCAAGCCAGTTTGGTGTAGTGGTTAAGTCCGCGGGCTCTAATCTGGGAAAACTGGATTTGATTCCCCACTCCTCCACTTGCACCTGGCTGGATGACCTTGGCCGAGCCGTAGTTCTGATAAGAGCTATTCTTGAAAAACAGCAGTTTCTGTCAAGAGTTCTCTCAGCCCCACCTACCTCACAGGGTGTCTGTTGTGGGGAGGGGAAGGGAAAGGAGTCTGTAAGTCGCCCTGAGACACCTTTGGGTAGTGAAGGGCGGGGTATAAATCCAATCTCTTCTTCTTCTGTTACCTCACAGGGTGTCTGTTGTGGGGAGGAGAAGGGAAAGGAGTCTGTAAGCCGCTCTGAGACACCTTTGGGTAGTGAAGGGCGGGGTATAAATCCAATCTCTTCTTCTTCTGTTACCTCACAGGGTGTCTGTTGTGGGGAGGGGAAGGGAAAGGAGTCTGTAAGCCGCTCTGAGACACCTTTGGGTAGTGAAGGGCGGGGTATAAATCCAATCTCTTCTTCTTCTTCTCTAAGTGGCTTTTCTCAATTACAAGTTGCCCTCTGGATTTTGGTAGCATGTAACTTTAGTCTTTCAAACCAGCTGGGAAACAAGTCAACAGTCAAGGAGGGAACAGAAACTGACTGGGCTGTCAGGGGGCAGGGAAAGATGTGGTAAGGAAGCTGGGCAATGGGCCTATCCCACCGTTACACACAGCAAGCTGAACTCAGGAAAGATTTCTTGAAACCAGTGGAACACCGTCTGAGTCCAGTGGCACCTTTAAGACCAACAAAGTTTAATTCTAGGTATAAGCTTTCGAGTGTGTGCACACTTTTTCAGGACTCAAACTTTGTTCTGTTGCTTCAGACCAACATGGCTACCCAACTGAAACCAGTGGTTATTAAAGAGGGCCAGATCTGGGTCAGATTGCTAGCATGATGTTAGAGACAAAAAGTGGGTCAGTCAAATAGTCCAGAGCCACCAAATGAGCAAAGCCACGTTACTGGAACACTGAGCTACCTTAAAACTATTTTCAGAATGGGAGACAAAAAGGTATATATATTACCTGTTGGTAAACCAAGAGTAAAATACCTGGTTTGGTTTGGCTTGGCCTTGATGATGCGATTGCAGATATACTTTGCAGCCCATTCACTTGCAAGATCATAGTTATCAAGGATTACCAGCCTCATATTTGTGAGAGACTGCTCTCAAGGCAAATTCTGTGGGAGAATAAACAAGAGAGAGAGAGAGAGAGAGTCATATTTATTCCAGTATGAACACAGAAGGCATGCAGTAAACAAGGCTCATACAACCTGTGACCTGCTGAGCTAAACGAAGCATACTAGCTATGGCTTATAACCTGCCGCGTGCCTTACAACCACCTCCCTCCTGTTTTCTGCAGTTCCAAGCTGGCAATAAAACCACGAGTTTTGTCAAGTTTCTGGTGGACCATCAAACATAGCTGGTTATCTCCCTTTGGCTTGATGTCAGGTTGGCCTATTTTCACCAGACTTCAGATGCTTACAGGTTGGTAGTCAATAACCACTATCGTACTCTTCCGCCAAAGCAGCAAAATGTGGTCTTTTACATAGGAAAACCTTTAAAGATCTTGCTCGCATTTTGTATACACGTGCATGTTCACATTTTTTTAATTTGTTCTAATTAACAGGAGTAGTCATAATGGTAAACATGTTTATATTAAGATATTTATACCCCGCTTTTCTCCACAGTGGCGTCTCAAAGTTGGTACAATACTATTGTGCCCATCTTAATTTCATCCTCAGAACAACCACCCTGTGAGGTAGGTCAGGCTGAGAGTGACTGGCACAAGATCACTTCGTAAGCTACCATGACAGAATGGGGATTCTGGTCTGGGTCTCTTAGATCCTAGCCTGCCAGTCTAACCTCTACACCACACTGGTTCAGATCAAACAGAAGTGTCACTTAGAAACTAGTAGTTTTCTCAAACAGCAGTAGAGAAGCAAAAGCCAAGCATGATTAGACATTTTAGATGGCTGTTGGGCAATAAGCCACTTGTATACAGATAACCACTACTGGACACATTATCATAATGGAAAGATGACGTAGTGATTATAGAGAGAAATAACAGTAATATTTAATGGTTTCTGCTATCAGCCACAAACAAGCCAGTTAGACAATATAGCTTACTGGATTGATAATTTTGTATTGCAAAATTATAATTGTTTTCAAACAAGACAAAATCCATCAGATAGAGAACACAATAAAATGAAAACTTGCATAGGGATGCGAATAGCTGAGGAATCTGATCTGATAAATACAATTTTGTTAGGCATTCTATATATTTTCCCTTCTAAAAAGGTATTCTACTTGCCACTAAACAAGTGTTTTCTCTTTTGTACAGTTATAGTGGCTTTTTAGAATGTACATCTAACTCAAATATATGAATATCTAAAATTTAAAACCTGCAGAATCTGAAAGTGGCAACTCAAGATTCTAAAATGTAAGCAATGAATTCTCAGTGTTTCTGATTTTCTGTACAGTAAAGCTTATTATGTTACTCACAAATGCCAGTGGGAATTACAGAGGCCCAGGAACTAGATAGAAAGATAGCCAGAGCAACTAGCATAAGAGATTGAGTACTCCAGCAATTTTAAATTGAGAGACCGAACATAAATGCTGCATAAGACTCTCATGAGTGTGTGCTTTGCCTCCCAGCAACTGAGCAGATATTAGAACTAGTGCAATAGAAGGGCTTAATGCAAGAAAGAGTTGATAAGTGGATACTAATGATCTACACTCCATTCACATGCTATTTTCCACTAGGCATGGTGAACGGTAGCTGTAGAAATCAGACATCTATGACCATTAAAATACATTGCATCCCTCTACAAAATGATGTTATTAGCTCTAACCTTCAGGCCACACATCCTACACATACCCCAGATTCAAAGTTTCAACCCATCACAGATGTTCATAAATCCTTGACTATTTCAGAACAGCGATGATCAACCAACTAGCAGTTATTGTGGTTCAGTATGCTAAGATGAAAATAAAAAACACAACTTTAACCAATAAGGAATGATTAACCAATAAGGGAATGGTTAGCAGAGACTAACCCTGTAGACTGGGTGACTGCCCTTATTATCAGAAGGGAACCAGAAAGCCAAGATTACTCAACATTTCCGATTTCTACAAGTTCCCAGGAGTTACTGGCCTAATAGTTACAGCAAAGACAGATTTACCACTGACTGTACACTCTGCAGATAATGCAACTAGTGCCTTGAAGTTATACCTGTAGGTTTCACTTGCAGGCTGTAGCCTCATTCGATTTTATGTTATATTTTTAACATCTTAGGGCTACAACTGCATCTCTTTATTGATTTCAAGCTACAACGGAAATTGGCCTCAAGTTAATCAAGAAAAGCCCTAAAATACACAAGAACACTGATAGGAGCTTCCCGAGAGTTCACAGCAAATCCCTGTGTAGCTTTAAAGCCCGCTTAACTTTTTCTTGGTATTAAACTGACAGCTGATGTACAACACGAATATTGTTTACTTCGTTTTCCAGTTTGTAGAGACAACAGCTGGCCAACAATTCTGTACAAAAAGCAGGTAAAACAACACGAAAATCGCACAGTCGCTATACTTGCAAGCTGCATGCTAAATCACAAAGTGATCTCGTATTTTAACACAGTAGATTTCACCTAGAAGGCTTCTAAAACGACAAGCCCCTCGCTTATGAGTAATACAGCGCATCTTCGTGCCCGGTTACAGGCCTCCCTTTACGTTCCCAATTAAGGAAGCAAGGAAGAAAATACCAGAAAAGCACAGTTCTCCTAAGCCATGCTTTGGTCACTTAACACCACACAAAGCAATACGCGACACTGACAGCTAGCCTTATATGCAGCCCCCACCCCCCCAAGAAATCTCCCATTGCACATGCAAGCAAAAATACAAAACAAAGCCGTAGCACAGAAGTCATCTTTGCTTTAGCAGCTTAGTGCAAACTCAGTAACCAGATCCCCCCCACCCCCCTGGTTCCCGAATAACTAACTCAGCCGCACCTCGAGCCACCAATTCTCTCTCGCTGCACCCAGGAACAGGCAAAAGATCAGCACCGATGCAAGGAATCGATGCCCCGGCCTGCTGGGGGCGGGGCTAGAACTTCCGGAGCAGCCACACAGACAGGCTTTTGCAAGTCGTATAGACGGGGGGGGGGGAGAGGAGGAGGAAGGGCGGAGTCTCTGAGAGCTGGAAGGGAGGGAAAGCCGAGGAGGACTCTTCTGCGCCTGCCCAGAAGTAACTATAAAAGCAGGGGATAGACGCGCGTGCAGGTGCGCGCGTAGCATTTTACTTTGCTGGGCGGTAGTGCTCTGGTGGGAGGAAAGGCAAGGCCGCGTAGAGGGCTTTCGCTAGAGGTAGCTGGCAGAATAGTGATGATAGTTCTAGAGAAGGGGCAGTTGGTCTTAGTTTATCGTGCCTGCAGAAGTGGGCTCTAGATCCTGGAGGCTTAAAATAGCTTTATTTATTTTTATTTTTTAACAAACTTTTTATTATTCGTATATAACAACATGTTCAATATTACAACTTTTCTTTCAACATATACCCTTTTCTCGTATCTCCCCCCCCCTTCTCTTGGCCTCCCGCAATGCTCCCACCCCCCTCATTTTCCCTTTTACTGCTCAATTCTTAGTTTACGTTAAAACTTCTTATTTATTTTTAATGTCCCGCCATTCTTGTTCAGTAATAGTAGGAGGGAAGCCACTGGGCTTTGAAGTAATGAAAGCTTAGCTTGGTTGTATGAAAACCTGTTTTTATTTTTCTGTCTGAACCAGGGATCCCCAATCTGATTTAGACTGAGGCCTTTTTGAGAAAGGGTGGTCCAAAATGGCTGCAATAGTAGGAGAGAATAGTAATAGTGGGGCAGAAATACTGGGCTTTGAAGTAATAAAAGCTCTGCTAGGCTATATGAAATCTATCTTTATTTCTCTGTCTGAACCAGGGATCCCCAAGCTGATTTAGCCTGAGGTGTTTTTGAGAAAGGGTGGTCCAAAATGGCTGTAATAGTAGGAGAGAATAGTAATAGTGGGACAGAAACACTGGGCTTTGAAGTAATAAAAGCTCAGCTAGGCTATATGAAACCTATCCTTATTTTTCTGTCTGAACCAGGGATCCCCAATCTGATTTAGACTGAGGCGTTTTTGAGAAAGGGTGGTCCAAAATGGCTGCTGTGGGTGGTACGGCCTGTCACAAAATGGTTGCATTGGGAAATTTCAAGCTGAATGTTCTCTTGTAAGGGGTGCTGGTGTGCACAGTTATTTCCAAGTGGGGGTCCATTTTACTCTGGGGAAGGAGGCATGTGCCTGGAAATGCTCATCGTGGCACTAGATGAGGGTTTGCTCTTATTTATGAGGTTTGTTGTAGTCTGCATAAACTGGGTCATTTTTTTGTACCTGTTTGGAACACAAACCTTGCTCTGATTTCCTTCTAATAAAACTTCTGGTAGAGAACTCTTAACTTTTTTAAAAAAATTACAAATACCATTTTCCTAAGATGGGAAGCAGACTATAACTATGTACAAAAATATCCACCATGGAAAATAACATTGAGAAGTGAAAGCAATATTCACAAGAGGGTTTTGATCTGTTAACTAGGACCTAGCTATTATTTGAGGAGTTGTGTAAGACCTCAGATAAAAAATCTGGAATTTTTTAAAAAACTTTTATTTTATTTTTCATTGAACAAAATAGCTTAACAGATTACATAAAATTTTCAGAGTTCTTCATTTCATCAACTTATTTATCCATCTATACACCCTATTCCATCTATTGCTATGTACCGTATTATCTTTACCCTGTAATTTTATACTCAAGTCGTCAATTTGTGCAAGTTCTAACATTTTTGAGCTTAGGTCAAGTCTGGTGGGTATTTCCTCTGTTTTCCAATACCTTGCCAACAACATTCTGGCTGCTGTTAGTATATAAACAATAAGATATACATCTTTATGGTTATAGCCATCTGGGACAATATTTAACAAAAATATTTCTGGTCTCAAATCTATGTTCAATTCTAAGATTTCATATATAGCTTTGTTTATCATACCCCAATATTTTTGAACTTTTTTACACTTCCACCACATGTGATAAAAGGTCCCCACATTGGATTTACATTTCCAGCAAATATTGGTTACATTACTGTAACATTTAGCTAATTTATCTGGGGACCAATACCATCTGTGGAACATTTTGTAGACATTCTCTTTATATGCAACCACTCTCATATATTTAACTGATTTCCATATTTTCGACCACTGATTTTCCTCTAAGGTTTTTCCCCAGATCTTTCATCCAAGATATCATAACTTCTTTGATATTCTCATCTATTTCAAAATCATCCAACAAGAACCCATACAACTTCTGAATTAGTTTGTCATTCGAGGACAACCAAATTTTATCTAATTCATTTTTATCATGGTCAAACCCTCTTACCAGATCTTTGCTATATCTGTCTCGTAATACTACATGTTCCCACCAGGATAGGTTGTTTTCCCGAATCAATTCATTTCCCGCTTTTAATTTATTATCTTTTCCCAATAAGGCCTCATATGTTCCTTTTATATTCTGGGAGGGTAAGTGAAGGTTTTATAAACGCCTCTGTTGGAGACACCCATCTCGGGGGTTTTCTATAAAATCTCAATTTGATCTCATACCATACTTTATTTAATGATCCTCTTATCACGTGTCTATTAAAGTTAGAATGTATTTTTAATTATATTTCTTTTATTATTACTATCGTTATCATACAACTCCATAAATGACAAACAATAACACCCACAACAATAACAGACAACCAACAATAAAACAAACACCTAAATACATCTAACAAATAACATAAGAACAGATTCTACTCCTTTCCTTGTATCATTTGAGTTTCACAAATTATAAATTTATCTTGTGTTCCAACCATTTATATACTTGTGACCAAACTCTCCAAAATGTTGAATTCATATTTCCATGCATCTTTTGCGTTAAATTGTCCATTTCAACCACTTCAATTATTCATAAAATCCCATCTGTTTGGTACCTGTTCCATTCTCCAATACTTTGCAAGCACTATTCTTGCTGCCATGCAAGACCACATACATTTCCTTTTCCCCCCATTTATCAGGAAATATATTCAAAAGAAATATTTCCGGGTCCAACGGGACTTGTATTTTGATTATTTTGCACTATCATCTTTTGAACCTCCTTCCAATATTGTTTCACCTCATTACATGACCACCAGACATGATAGTAAGATCCCACCTGGACCTTACATTTCCAACATTTACCATCTGAACCCGAATATATTCGTGCTAATCTTTCTGGTTCCAAATGCCACCGATGTACCAGTTTAAAAACATTTTCTTTTAGCGACACTGCTTTTAGCCATCTTGTATTTTTCCAAATTTTTCCCCACTTAGTTAAATCAATATCGTGCCCCAGATTTTTTACCCACGGCCCCTTAGTTGCTTTAAAAACCTTGTCGACGATTGCATCTTATGATTAAGCAAAAAAGAATAGATTTTGCCAATCAGCTTAACATCATCTCCCAAAAGTATTTTGTCTAAATCAGACGGCCCTGAAAGGAAACCTATCTGCTTATCTTTATAGTATTTAGAACTTAATTGATTCCTTTCTCACCATGATAGCTGTATTTGCTGAGCTTGTAAAGTATCCTAGAATGTATTTTGTCTTTACATAAGCATACATTTTGTCTTTACATAAGCGTACATACATAAACGTGCCAACCCATAGCTAGATCGTGCCCTTCAAGTGTTAAGGTTCTTTTATTATCTAACATAAGCCAATCTTTTACCCAAACTAGGGTGGCCACTTTATAATACAGATGCCAATTTGGTATGCTCATACCCCCTTTTTCTTTCCTATCCTGTAGAATCTTCCATCTTATTCTGGCTTTTTTGGGGTGCCATACAATTTTTTTAGTAATTTTATCTAATTCCTTAAAAAAATTCTGATTCTTTAGAATAGGAACATTTTGCGCCAAAAATAGAAATCTCGGTAGCATATTATTTTTAATGGCTGCAATTCTACCCATAATCGATAGAGGTATATCCTTCCATTTTCCCAAATCTTTTCTGATTTCTTCTAACAATTTGTAATAGTTATCCTCTAATAATGAGCTACTTTTGTTAGTCAAATATACTCCTAAGTATTTGATTTTTTTAACAAATTCCATTGAAGTAATAACTTGAGTTGCTTGTAGTGTGTCTGATTGGCAATTTTTTGAGATAAGCTTAAAAATCTGGCATTTTTGAGGGGCTCTATAACATATCTGTAGTTTGTAGTACTTGGATCTGAGCTCTGTGTGTGTATACTTGAACTGGCACACAAAACAGTCTGAATCTTCTATACACAATTCATGGGAATCTAGGGACATTGTAGCCAACCAGTGGTTTCTAGTATTAAAGGGTCAGTAGTGACATCCTTACCATACAATCCATGGACATCAAAGGAATTTTTACCCTAAACTGCCAGTACAAATATATAGTGTACACATTTTTTGGAATGCTGCACGGGTGGTTAACAATAAACATATTTGAACCTCCTTCGGGCAAGAAATGTTTTTCTCCAGTGTCAGTTGAATGTTCCTCACCTTCTGTCTCCTTGTTCTTTGAGAAGCATTCTATACATCTGGACAACTCATAAACTTGCATAACTCTTGCAAGACATCAGTACTCTCCCCTAATATCCTTGACCATTTTACCGCCAATTATCTCAAGAGCATGGGGACAATTTCTCATATATTTCTTAGGGGAGATGAATATTACTGTACTGCTATTTTCAATAGCATTCTCACAAAAATAAAAATTAACTGAGAAAGATGAACATGTAGAAAAATGTAAATACGTAATAAAAATATACATGCCAAACTTATGGCTGCACTGCAGGTCTGAGATCTGTTTCATATATTTGTCTAATTTTATTTTGCTCTCCAGTTTTAACAACAAATGTATTTTGTTACCAGTTTCCAGAAAATAACTGTTCATCAAGATTGTGTTTTTCCTGCCCTGCCCTGCCCTTGATAGCCCAGGCAAGCCCAATCTTGTCACATCTTGGAAGCTAAACAGGATCACCTCTGGCAA